AGTAGTAGTAGTAAGAGTAGTAGTATAGGTAGCTGCTCTCAAAAGTGATGAATGTGGGCTGAAATCTTAAAAAGCAACACCGGGCGGAAAGCACAACTGTGTTTTCCCGCCTCGCGGACTGCGCACTTTTGTGTGTTGAGCAGCTTTGGGTTTAAGGGTTTAGGGTTTAGGGTTACAGGGTTTAGGGTTTAACGGTGCCATCCGGTAGAGATCGTGACACCCGTCATTTCACACCCCCTGCGCTCGATGCTGCTGGTCGGGGCTTATGAGCTTGAGCGAGATAATGCTGTCTCGGTTCTGCACAGGTCCGGTGATTCACAGCCGAAGGTATTTCGTGATTGTTGGTTTTTGGCACGCGCACCAGAGTGTGTTCCCCGTGCGAAGTTCAAGATCTGTTAGAGCTAGCCCTTCTCTCGGCGTTTAGGAGACGAGAGGCCATGTAGTACCAGGTAGTTCTGCGGTAGAAAGTGCAGCAACCATGCCAAACGGCCATGAGCAGGGTGTGATCTGACGCGAGGGGAGGGTCTGATAAGTGGATGACTGACTCAGGAGTTCAGGAGTTGATCCATGTCCAAACATTTGGCTCATTGTTCCCATGGCAGTGAGGGGTGATACATAGTACATAGCAACATTGAGACAGGACTGTGTTGTCGAAGTTACAGAAACTTCTGCAACTGGGTGACGACAGCATTAAAGTCATCTGTAGGGTAGATCGTTTCGCCATGAGATTCTGCACATGCTTGCAGATGCACAATGCGAATTTCGCACAAACTTCAAGCATCAAAGAAGAAGAGCTCCTGGAAGAAGAAGAGAGCGAAGGCCACAGCTCCACAAGTTGATGTTGAAATCGTGCAAGCAGGAGAAGTGGCAGAGGAGCCCCTGTCCCCACAACGTCACGTTGCTGTTGCAGTGGTTTCACTGTCGGCCTTGTTTACATTGACATCCATCTATGTGGCGCAATTCTGGCGAGCATCTCCCGATGATAGTTTGGGTCTGGTGCTCTCCGGGCCACAGCAAAATGCCAGCGTGAATGCGCATGACAAACTGAGCTTAAGTTATGGAGGGTCACTCGGAGCTGCCGTCGCAGCGATGGGCGCGCCATCCGGTGCGATCCTCGAAAGTTCTAAGTATGACGGGTTGCTGCAAGTCCCAGATTCCCAACAGCCAGCGCCAGTGACTACAATGATCAGCCAAGCGAGAATCTCTCCAAGTGCGGCTGGGACGCAAACTAGGCTGAGACTTGCACACATCTCTTCGAGGCAGCCCGGAAATTTTCGGCAGCCACGGGTGCTTTGGATACACCTGCACGGGTATGGGGGAACTACTATTTGTGACATGGCAAGATCTCAGGGGGAGAAGATTCCACGCGCGCAGGACAATTGCAATGTCATGCCAGACCTCTGTTCCACACCCAAGATCTTCCGCACTCCATGCACGAAACGAGCATCCAGCTTGCAGTACACGTTTACAGCAATAGAGCGCGCTGTGGATCAGGACGACCTGTCCTGTTCCGGTGGTGCTGCAAGCAGCCCCGGCCCAACCATGCTGTATGGGGCTATGCTGCGCGATCCGCTATCTGGAATTAAGTCAACTTGGATCGGAAACGAACTGGAGAAGGATCTTATTCTCACCGCCATAAAGACGAAGACGCGGCCGCGAAATTTCCAGTATCATTTCTGCCTGCCTCCTTCCGACACGTATCAGCACTTCGATAACTTCGCTGTTCGCACCTTGAGCGGGGATTACGATGTGACTCCTGGTGAAGTGACAAGCCGACACTTGGAAAGGGCCAAGGAGGTGCTTTCCAGGCTGGATGTCGTTTTAATCCTGGAGCATCTTGTGGACCATCTACCTCAGCTACATGCCATCTTTGGTTGGGACCTTATGATGGATAATCCCTGGAGGTCCCACAGACACCGCATACCGAAGAATGCCATGAGTCCTGAGGAAGAGATTTTCTTGAAGAAAGTCAATGCCTGGGATTATGAGCTTTATGAGTTTGGGAAAGAGCTAGCCCTTGAGCGGACCGCGCAAGCCAAGCTTCGCCTTCTCCCGTCCTAGACGGAGAACACATTTAAGTTCAGTTGATGCTCGTTGATGGCTCAATGGCAGTGCTCGTCTCGTGTCCGAGGTTGGTGCGTTGCCTTCATTTTAGATAGCTTCGACAAAGTACTGAACACAAGATGGTGCCAGAGGGCCGGCGTGGATGCTGGAAACACGAGACATCCCTGGCGTTATGGGTGCATGTCACCAGACTACTCTTGCATGCTGATTGCAAGTGTGGAAAGGTGCAGATGTCCGGGTCGGAGTGCCTTTGGCACGTCTAACATCGGTCTGTTTCACACTGCGAGATGCAAGGCGGCCTCCAAGGCTGTGCGGCAAAGTTGGCTGTGAATGATCGGCTTGCTTTGGCTGTTGTTGGCTGCCGTAACGTCAACAGCAATGACCTCAGTTCGGGAAAGTATGCACAATCATGCCAGGCAGCATCGAAATTTATTAAGATTCGTTAATGTGGGGATATCTCACACGGTCCACACAACCTCGCCGGTTTGAGCTCAAGCTCGCTCTGAGGCAGTTTCTAGCTCAGCGCAGGTCATTTTGGCAAGGCGAGGTAGGCATTCTAGGTCTCAGCTCCAAAACATGACTCTTACCTGAGACTCTCGTGACATCATGTGTGCACATCAGCCATCCCCCAGCCCGAGAACCCCTCGGGCAAAGACAAGGTTGCGGCCATGGTGCGTGCCTTGAATCCGTACGATTATGGCGGGCCACCTCTTCTCGACTGGCCGCCAGTCGCAACAGCTTTTCAAGACCCTCAAAGCAGTGCACTCCCAAAGGTCCGCAAGGGTGTGCGACAGCAGTTCTCGGACATTGCTGCGATGGGCACCAGCTACCCTGGCGGGGACGTGATGTACCAGAGCTTATGGCGAAAGAATGGTGGAGACTTCAATCTTTGGCCAAAGGAGGAGCGCTTCTACAAGGGCCCACGGCTGGGAGAGTATGCGCGGCCTCTGGTCATGAACAGGAATGTGCTAGGCTACATGAACCAGTCTCCAGTCCCTCTTAGCGCCGCCGAAGACGAGTTGACCCTAGTCGCACATGCCAGCAGTGCATCAAAACGAGCCAGAGCCCATGCGGAATATGCCCGACAAGCTGCAGAGAAAGCCGAGGCTTTCTACAAGGCTGCCAAAGCTAGAGCACGGGCGTTGTTTCTTCCAGACCCGCCCCTGAGTGTGAAGCCAACGGCAGACGTTTATCCGATGTATTCAGCCGGACCGATGGCCCTAAACCCTGTTTCTGCTTCTGCTTCACTCGTCCTGGCAGGTTTCTTGCATGATATCGGAAGCCCGTCGAAGCTGGACAATGCTAGCCAGTTTCTTGGCCTGAGAAGTGCAGGTGCCCTCTAAGCTAGCAGGAGAACTGCTGTCCAGACGCGTCTGCACAGACTCAGCCGAAAAAGCCTCGGAGTGCGAAAGCGACAAGATGGCAAGAGAGTATGCGGTACGGCGCTTTGGCATTAGATGCATGCCTTCGGCTGTAGCTTTCAGACTTCCTAGTGCCATTGCGCCTATGCTGTCGCAACTGATGCCACCAATTCATGCTGCATATCCTGGGCGCGTTTCGAGACTAGGATTGAGCTCTGCACAGTTAGACTCAGCTAGACACGATTTTCAGGGTTTCAGGGACCGGAGATAGACTTGATGACTGACAATGTGCCATGACTCTGCGTGGATTAAGCTTGATTAAGCGGGATATGTGGCCACATGCTCGAGTTGCGGTACAGCTTTTTCAAGTCCTTCCTCGACCTTGTGGCTCTCTTCGGCTTTCCAGCAAAGTTTCCGCACGAAAGATGGCGGGATGGTAGTCACAGCATAGAAGGGGGAGGCAGCAGGCCTCCTGGTGTTTTCAGGTGGGCAGGGCATCCTGCATTGCGCATGCATTGTTGTGTGTGTCATGCCCATATTGCTGTGTGAGTTGGCCGAGTGGAAAATTTGTCGTGTACTTGTTGATTGTGCTTTGACCACGACCCGGAGGTGATCGTCGAAGCTCTCCAGCATGGGCTGCGCTGCTAGCCTATCAGCGAAGTGCCCCGAGAGCGGAATCTGTAACGCTACATGAATTCTTCGGCTGGAAGCTGCAAGCTTGTTGCTTTGCTCTGCAAAGTGCTCAGACGCGGTTGGGGGCTTTCCACATATTTCCGCATGCTACAGACTCCAACTCGCAAGCCTGGCCTTTGCAGATTCGAACGAGTGAGGATGCTGGGTATGTGGGCTGCCAAGTGGCTACTCCTAATTTGCAGCTGGCTTACGCGGGAGATGGTTAAACGACCAAGTTGAGGTACCTGCCCGCTCCAAAGCCAGAGACAGGGGACTCGAAGGTGGGCCAGTGCAGTCAATTTTTGGGGTACCGGACGGGACTGTAACCCCTCATAGGCTCTCATGACATGAAGAAAAGTGAATCTGTTTCACCGCGAGGCAAGCAACGCGCCAGTTGAGCCAGAGGCGCACGGCTGCAGTACGTGGCCGAAGCATACATCTGACATGCGAGTTGCGAACTCTGGATGCTGTACAAGGGGCGGGGGCTCGCAGTGAGAAGGTTAGGTGCGCTGGGAAATCAACAAACTTGCGATGCAAGGCCGATGACGCGTCCGCAGCTCCCCAGCACCAGGCCGCATGTGTAGCAGGAAAGATCTGAACCCCTAAACCCCTAAACCCCTAAACCCGAAACCCTAAAGTCGCAACCCTAAACCCATAAACCCCTAAACCCTATAGGCCCTATAGTCGCAACCCTAAACCCTAAACCCTAAACCCTAAACCCTATAGTCGCAACCCTAAACCCTAAACCCTAAACCCGAAACCCTAAAGTCGCAGCACGGGAGGGCGGGCTCTTTTTGCGCAAGGCGGGCAAGAAGTGGACAAGGACCGAGGCCTCCTGGAAAGTGTGTTTTTGGGGGGATTTCAAGAAGAAGCTGACTGTGAGGAATATATTATTATAGTATATTATACTATAGCATACTATATTATTATACTATATTATTTAGTATACTATATTAGAATACTATATTAGTATACTATATTAATATACTATATTAGTATACTATAATATTATACTATATTATTTAGTATATTATATTATATTACAATTTCTAGATGTCGTGTGCCTGTCCTTTGCCACGAGCGCTCCCTCGCATTCTGCAGATGGGAGAGCTGACTGTTCAGCAGCTGGTGCGCTGGTTGGAGGTGGATCTTGCACACCCGTATTTCTGAAGTCGTAAGGTTCAAGCCCGGGACAGCTGTCTGCTCTGCTTAACCTGGATACAATTTGGGATGCCTTCGGATGCTTGGTGCGTGCAACGCTTGCGGTTCTGGGAGGCTCATGTCTCGGTGAGACTGTAGATTATTTCAGCTGCATGGAGGCTGCTAGATCTGTCGCCAGTCGTAGTTTAACGAAGAACGCATGCTAAGTCTGACGCGCTGCCGCCACCAGGGTCTCAACATGGACCTGTCACCGGCAATCCCGCCTGTCCGTGCACGGCAAAGGCTTTGGGAGGCGTGGCGAAAAGATTTCCGTTCAAGACTATCCCAGAGAGCCCCCCTTAATTAAGGAACAGACCTTAAATCATAATAATAATAATAATGCCCCTAGAATTTAAGGTATATTCCTTATTTAAGGGGTATTGGGTTCTCTGGGATCAGCTGCTTGCAGTGTCGGATTGGCCAGGAGATCGAGAAGTCGAAGCCGACTGCCCTGGAACAGGCTGGGCATCGTGCGGCCGCATATAGGTTTTTGGGCCAAAGTATATACGATTTGGGGACATGGACCCTTAGGGTAAGGGCATCACGCTGGCCACAACTGAAAGTCCCGATGTCCTTCGTTTTGCGAAAGACCTGCGGATATGTCAGCACAACGGAGGTCACCGATCCGCTGCATCTGGAACACTGGCCTCTGTCAGCGACGCTGCGATGGCTGGAGTACTTCAATGCTTTGGATGAGTCGCTGGCGAAGAAGGCCCTTCGCGCTTCAGAAGAGCAAGCACAGACCACCTCGTCAAAGCTGAGTAGGCTTCCCTACTTACTTCCACAGTCATACCGCTAGTATCGGGGGTTGACCTTCTGCCTAACTCATTGCTGTGCGCCACCACAGGACAAGCTCATATCTATGTTGATGGAGAAGGGAGAGGACCTTCTTGTCACAGCCTTTTGCAGGGCTGGCAGTCGTAGAAACTAAGGTGGTTGCTTGCCTTACATGAAGCAAGCCTGCAGGATTTGTCTCCTCCGAACTTCGAGGCTAGTGAAGAGGACAACTTCCTCACAGAGGTTGGAACACTCTTTTAATTATCAGTCTTTCGCATCATCTGGGCCAACAGGTCTCTCGCCATGTCGGCATGGTGAAGCAGGTGGGCACAGACTGTTAAAAATCAGAGGCCGTAGCCATCAAGCGAGGCACAAAGTCCGGGAAGCTCCAAGCGCTTCCTGTGCTTCGTAAACCCTAAACCCTAAACCCTAAACCCTAAACCCAAACGGCCCTGCATCAGTCCAACAGGCGGCGTCCAGCATCATCGCCAACCTGTCCGAGCAGCTGGCGCAGGCGCTCTATCTGGGCAGTTGTCAAAATTAGGGTCCCTTTTGGGGTACCCTAAAATATAGGTGCCGCATTATAATAAGGACCCAAAAAGGGACCATAATTTTGACGGACAGGGCAGGGAGTCGGTGACTCGTCGGTGACTGGAGCTCGCTCTGCCTGAGGCCGATGCCGACGAACGGCCCAAGCATCGCTGGTTTGCCAACGGGAAGGTCGGTGCCTGGAACGAGGGATTTTCGCAGCTATGGGGACCATAGGGGGGGGGGGGGACCTTCCGAGGCACTCTCTGACTTCCGACCGGAGGAATTCCAGGCCACCAAAGAGGCAGCGGGCGGGGATTACGTGAGATCGCACTTGTTGCTTGAGATGCCAGCCTCGCGCCAGTTGGATATCCCGCTCGTTCAGATGAAAGCAGGAGACCGGGTGATGGCCTCAGAGTCGTGGAAAGCTGCGGTTGGCCGCTGACTGGGCCTTTAAGCGTGAGTCCTTTTTACGGTACAGGCTTGCGGGGCTGACTGCCAAAGAAGGTAGCAGTGTCAGGGCCACTCTGGATTGTTGCTGTGTTTCGCGCTGTAAGGTGGACCTCACTCTGAACGAGGCGTGCCGTGGGCCACTGGAGAAGTGCACACGGCATCGCTGGTACGTCATGATTTGGGTCGCTTCTCCTCGCCACGTTTTGGCAGCTTTTATGGTGAAAAACCTGCCAAGCCCATGAAAACGTGGGGAGGCCGGTGGCTGGGCCTGGGTCGTCCTGGAAGACGAAGTCACGTCAGGGTGGGCATGGAGCCCAGAGCTGCGTGGAGGGTGCGGCTTCAGGTGCAAAGCCTTACGTAGAAGTCTGTTTCATGACAGAACCCCAAACCCTAAACCCTAAACCCTAAACTTGCCCTAAACCCTAAAAGTCCTTCTTGAGTTGACTCTGTGGTGCGTGGCTTGCTTTGCAGTCTGCACCGAAGTCGCATCCTTGCAACTGCTGGGTTTTTTGGCTCGAGGCCTTGGCCTTGGCCTTTGACTAGCTATAGTATACTAATATAGTACAATAATATAGTACATATAATAATAAAGTATAATAATATAGTATTATAAGAAAGTATACTAATATAGTATTATAATATAATGACTCGTAGTAGCCTGTGGATGGAGGAGTTGCATGGAGAGGAGTCTTGTGCCTTTCGCGTGCGGGTACCCATGCACAGTCAGACAAAAACAAGCGCATGCAGATTGCAGGCAAAAACGTTTTTAGCAAGCCCTATGAGGCAGGAGAGCTGACAAGCTCTCGCGATTTCCCGACACCCTGAGCGCCACTGACAGCTGCAGTGCCCATGACCTCGGCACCACTGCTAAGCACTCCCTCGACGTCGCGGCGGCGGAAGCCCCGATCCGTCTTCGGGTACTGGCCACCCGGCCCAAGCTGTTGCAGTTGGAGCCATCCCTAGATCTCAGAATGCAGGCCGGTTTGGTCCGAGTGCGTGCCCCTCAACGAGGAAACAGGGAAGGTCGATGGGGTCCGAAACTTGCCAGCACTTGCCAGCAGTTCGGTTCTTTCTCATGTCGGTGGCAAAAAGGTACAGCATCAGCGTTTATTGGCAGTGGTTTTGAGTATCGAACCATAGTGTACGAAGCTCACTGTTTTGGCGTAGACGTGCCAGGTGTGGAGTGCATACATGTGACCACTGTTTACAGCTATATGGGAATGAGTATCATGAAGCAACTGTTTTGCCGCGCCAAGGAGTGACGGCAAATATTATTGCTGGCAGCATCATCGGCATCAGACAAACCCTCACCGGCATTGTCAGTGCGACGCTGGTGTTCACTGGGTCCAGCTTCCCTGAAGTCACGCACATGTTCTCGTTTGGTATATGCATGACACCAGGTTATGAAAAGCATCGGTTTTTGGGCAGTCCATTCATTCAGAACGGCCGAATGACATAGAATGAGACAGAATGGCAGAACAGTAGTGTTCCTGAAAGGATGTGGTATTCCACGATGGTCGGCTCGGCATTCTATGCGATCTTTGGGAGGCTGCAGTACAACACCAGCGCCACGCAGGAGGTCTGTGCCATCCTCTACGGTGCCTCTGAGCAGCCAGTCCTGCAGCAGACGCGCAGCTGCGCACAGCTCCCGCTTTGCAGCCGAGGCGCCATGGCGCAGAACGCCGCCGAGCGGCTGCGCAGGTCCGGCCAGCCGGAGCGGATCCCGGCGACGGCACCCCAGCAGAAGGGACGCGGACGCAGCTCGAAAAGTGAGCTGAGACATGTGCTGAGCTGAGGTCCTTGCGCTCATCATGGCCGGAACGTCTCTCACGGGACTCTGCAGCGTGCTCCTGGGGAAGCTCGGGGTCGGCAAGGCAGGATCACCGTGGCATTTAATTGCAGTGCCACAGATGCCACAATCAGCGCGCGAACGAGCAAAGCCTATAATCGGCATGTCACTCGCTTTGCCGCACTTCGAAGTGAGCCTTCGGCCACGCAGGCCCCAAAGCCGAGCTTTGGGAGTCCGCCATTGACAAGAATCATATCACCCTTCTTGCACATGCCGCCTTGCGAAGTGTTAGGTGATGCTGAGATTTCCCAGCCCAGTGACGAGTGGTTTTCTGGGCACAATCGGCTTCTTCCTTGTTCGGACGGCCCTGCAAATTTCTTCTGGTGTCCCGGCTCTCTCTTGAGACGCGTCCTTCCGCATGAGAGAACCAGCTTCCGGAGGAAGACTGCATTTTTGTAAAGAGTGGAAGCGGCTGAATTAGGGGTGCAGTTCCAGTACTTCTACCCGGTCAGCTTTGCCGACTTCTTCTCTCTGCGGAGCATGGCCCCCGTCTCTTGCTTGCTGTGCATGGCGCCTTTGACAGCAGCTCTTGGTTTCGAAAGCAGATCGGCTGGCCATGTAAGAAGGGGATAGCGCGCTCAGGTCATGTTGATTCGGAGTGGCCCTGGTCTCATCGCCAAGATGTATGGCCAGAACAAGGCAGTCATGAAGCTCTCCGGCCTGGGCTGCCAGCTTTTCCCCTTGGCCCTCTTCTATGTGGTGATTCTGATATGTGGCATCCCTATGGAAGTGCTAAGTGAGACGGGCTGGACTTTCCCCGCACAAGCAGGCAGCACTTTCTGGGGGTTATGGACCACCTACAGCATCGGCGACGCAGATCCCAACGTCCTGCTGTCGAATGTTTCTTCAATGTTCATGCTGGTCATCATGTCGGTGCTGTGTCTGCAGGCAGTATGATCGAATCTCGCTCCTCGCTATGTCGTCGTATCAGGCCACATAATTTGCTAAGTTGTGCTAGTGCCTTGAATGGCTGCGTGACCAGCGGGAACAGGTGTGACACAACCGAAAACCTTAGCAAGGCCTCCTCCGTTGCTTAGGCAGTCCTTCCCCGTTTTTTTGCCGGTGCGCAGGAAGGGCTCACGGCCTTGCATCCCTTTTTGCCTACCCCACTCGCGGAGGACATCTTCTCGCATTCGCAGTCACGGACGGGAACTAGTTCGATCCAGGTTGAAAAACTAGGACATGACACCAGAACCGAGAAGTGCGAGGCGTTTTGATGGTGTCGCATGGAGCATTTGACAGAGACTGAATGAGGTGCTGTGCACGATGACCGGTGTCTTGGGCATAACGGGGAAGTTTGCCTCGGGTCCCGACGGAGACCCATCTCCCATGGACGTGGTGGACTTCGATGCAGAGCTCACGAGTGTGGGCTTCGGTTCGCTTCTCACAGGCTCCAATCGGGAGGGTCAGGGCCTGCCAGGGGTTTTGCCCAGTGCTTCACCAACTCATGGGTAGTTTTCTAAATTAGGGTCCCTTTTGAGGGGTCCTTTTTATAAGGGTATTGGGGACCCACAAAGGGACCCTAATTTAGAGAACTACCCTCATAGCTTCAGGTGGAACGTGTTGGATGTGCTGCCAGGCCTTACCCACGGTGTGGTGACCTTCCATCGCCTGGGTAGCTCCATCCAGCTGCGCATGGATGGTGGCACGCACCGCTTGGCCGTCTTGACCTCATCTGCTTTTGTGGGCATCTTCTTCTTTACGAATGTGCCTGGGCTTGAGAAAGCGGAGGGGGGGGGGGCGGTTGAGTCAATCGAGGCAAGACAAAATTTGCAGATGTATGCTTGCTTGCGCGGGCCGCAGGTCCCCCTGGGCCATTTCATCCCCAAGTTCTTCCTTGGCGGTCTCTTCATGGGCAGTGGGGTTAGCTTCCTCGAGAGTTCCTTCTTGTCTTTCCGCAGCCTACCGCCGCTGTGGGTCTTCGGCTACCGGCTCCCTTCGCTACAGTAGCTGGGAATAACACGGAGATGAGCCGTCCAAAATAAGCCTTCTGAAGTCCAGAGTACCCTAAACCCTAAACCTTAAACTCTAAATCATGGTATTCTAGACACCTTGAGGTGATTAAGAAAAACGCTAAACCCTAAACCCTCGAAAGCTTTTCGAGGTACTGGGTGACGGTGGCCTGTATCCTCGTGGCAGCCTTCAGCTCACCCTTTGAGGGCATCGGAGCCGGCTTAGCTCTGAGCCTGGTCATCTTCCTCTACGACAGCAGCCCTCCTTAACCACTGAGTTTAGGGCTTATAGGGTTTAGGGTTCAGGGTTTCGGGTTTCGGGTTTAGGGTTTCGGCTTTAGGGGTTTCGGGTTTAGGGTTTGGGGTTTGGGGTTTAGGGCTGTGGCCTGGCTGGGAGAGAGAGAGAGAGAGAGTTGCTTTTGTGATCTTGAACCAAGGCACGCAGTCATCCCCTGTGGACAGCATGCCTCTTTGCCGAAGATGGTGTTCACTAGCGTTGATTGGCCGGTTGGGGAGTTGTTCCGTCTTTGGCCACTGGCACCTAGCGAACATCAACCGAAGCCGACTCTTGCGTGGAGAGCAACTAAGAGCATTGATTGCCAGCTTCGGGTCAATCAGAAGCTCTTCCCGAAGCGATGACGTGGTCATTGAAGACACTGTCCCCCACAACTCAGGCACAGTCAGTAGCATCTACACGACCAAAAGTCCCGGTGAAAGGGTTAGTACAACCAAAGGGCGCAACAGCGCAACGGATGCTGCAATGTCGGGGTAGCCACCGAGCCCTCCACATGACGAAACCACTGCGGTCCCGGCCACATTCGTAGCGCCGACTTGGAAACCGTGGTGGTTAAGTAATTAATCTTGGAAGTCTTGCAGCAATACAGCTTCGGAGGTTTCTTCTGCGTTGGTGCGAAGAGTACCGGAGTATCAGGAAGAATGGAGGGGTGAGGTTGTGTGAGTTGTGTGGCCTCAGGTCGACGGGAGACCGTACCATGAGCCGGACACGACGGCCTTTTTGGGAGCTCGAGGCTTTGGGCACCGAGGGACATCGCATCCTCCTCCTGTATCTCCAGGAGCGGAGGGAGTCCAAACTGGCAAAGTGCAATTCGTATTTTTCGTCGCCGCTTCCGGTTTCAGGGGCAGCTCTTCTTTGGCTCTGGTCAGACGCTGGCGGCAAGCCTGGTGGAGACAATCGAGGGCGCCCGGAGGCCAGGCCGCAGGCCACTGCAGCTTTGGAAAACGTCGAAGCACCTCGCATCTGGAGGCCTTTGCCGCCAGAATTCTGCATCCTCAGCTTCGGGAATCTCAGCTAACACCAAGCCTTCAGGCTCCAACCGAGCTGAGTTCCACCCAAGGAAAGTTTCCAGCATCGACGCGAGGGTCTCAGAGTCTTCGAGGTACTACACTTGCCCTCCTCTGTTCTGCCTGTACTCTGCTTTCTTGCTCTTTGCTCTTTGGATCTTCGAGGCCTCCGCAGCCGAGCAGCTGAAGACAGCCGTAAAGCGGGTGGCCACTCTGGGTTGCAAGGTGCCTGGGAGAATCGTTCCGATTCAGGCCAAACTTCTCTGAACGCATTCGCAGAGTTTGCAACGTGCTTGCAGCTTGTACGCGAGCCGTTCGCCCATGTCAGGTGCTGTTTTGCCGAATGAACGCTCAAGTCTTCGAAGCCCTGTCGGTCGGCTGCGTGGCCACCCGGCTGTGATGAGCTTTGCCAAGTGCAGGGACCCAGCGCTGGGGACCCAGAGCTGAGGTCAAGTCTCCGGACTCCGACCTTCGTGAGCTCCTTGGCCTGAGCTCCGGCTGCATCTGGGAAGCCCCCAAGGCCTTACCTATAGTCTCCATTGTGGTTCCTTTTTTTGGGTTTAACCAATATTATATTAAGGATCCTATAAGGTAACCCCAAAAAGGAACTACAATGGAGACTATAGGTAGGATGAATAGACCTTAAACTATAGTAGGATCCCTAATATGGTATATTCCTTAATTCCCTTATAGAACCCTTACAGTTCCCTTTCTAGGCCCTGCTATAGGATCCTTCATGCCTGGTAGAGAGCAGTGCCTCTCAGGAGCGACCCTTCCGAGGATGGAAGCTGGCAGGAGCTGACGTGCCTTTTTTTACCATCGCTTGCTTCCATTTGGGTTTAGGGTTTAGGGTTTAGGGTTTAGGGTTAAGTGGGGGTTTCCGAAAATAGGGGACCCTAATATAGTACCCTAAATAGTAGGATCCCTGTTATAAGGACCCCAAATAAGGTACCCCCGATTTCGGAAACTCCCAAGTGGCTACGGGTTCTCTTCTGTCACATTGCCCGGCTAGAAGTGACAAGGCATCAAGCTCCTAGGTGCGATCTTCATCAAGCTACGTGTCTGTAGAGTTCGTTGCGTGTTGGCTCTGAGCGAGTTCCAGAAAAGGATTCCCCGAGCCCGAGCCCCGTCATACCGCTGAATGAGATGGAGGCCAACAGCTCCTCGGCAGGATCCCTTGAAGCCAGTTGAGGTGCTCCTTTTCCCAAAGCTGCTAGGTCTCTGGTAGCCGAGGCCCCACTGGCAAAGGCGACTTGAACTGCTGGGCGAAGATGAAGCCTTTCAGGCCTCTAGGCGAGTGGGCTTAAGAATTACAAAGGTCGAAGCAGACAAGATCGCTGAGTGGGTTGTCAGGACAAGAAGACTATGATGCTTTCGACGATGTGACCTTGGGCTCAATGACTTCATGTTAGAGACCCGCTTTCCCTCCTGGGCGGAGGCATTGAAAGCCTTTTTGAGAGCACACGTAGAGGACAGAGAAATATAGTACCCTAAATAGTAGGATCCCTATTATAAGGACCCCAAATAAGGTACCCCCCAATTTGCCTCTGTTTTCCTTTTCTTCTCCTGAGGGAAGCCCTGGCCAGCCCCCAGGACCGATGCCTTGGATTACACAGGAGATCAAGTGTTGGAGCGTTACCTCTACGCCAAGGAGCTGGACACTTTTATGCAGGAGCCACCGGGAAGCAACTTTCTCACTTCCCGCTACAACATCTGCTCGTCTTCCGTCCTCCCTTTTCTGAGGTATCGAGCTGCGTGCTCGACCGGCTCGCGCTTGGGTCCTGCGGCCTTCGAGGCCATGAACTTGCTTCCTTCAGGCCCAGGGGGTCGAAGCTCACCGCCGCCGCCATGATCGTCTTGCGGATCTGATCGGCTCATACCGTCTAGCCTTGTTCAGGCTTCCTGGGCCGACTACAGGCCTTCTGTGTGGTCGAGCGTAGCCTCACATCAGGACTGCATGGGCTGGGACGAAACGGGGGCAGGGTAAACGCAGGGTTAAGATTATGTAAAGTGCATATCGTTGAGGTCTGCAACTTACTTTGTGCCACAAGTTGGCAGGAAGCCACCTTCCTGGTTCCGATGCACTCGTCCTGATACTTCAAGGCATGTCGCTTTCTTGGGCTCCGCTGCCGGCAAATGTGGAATTCTCGATAGCCTGACAGTCTGATCTACAGGAGAGTGAGTTGCAATCTGTATACACAAGCTCACTACTTCATAGTGGAAGCGCGTGGAGCCTGGATTGCAACACATGCGGTTTGGCACCTGAGTTTGCGAGTCTTTCTTGCCTTGTGGTGGTGGCGGCGGTGGCGGTGGTGGTGGTGTTCTTTTTGCCGCTTCTGCTGCTGGTGGTGTTGCTGCTGCTGCTGGTCTGCTGCGGCTTTGCCGCTCCCACTGCTCATTTTTTGGTGGGACTCACGCAGGCGCCGTCGCCATGGTGGAGCTGCCAGAGGAGACTGCTTTGGGTTTAGGGGGGTGGGGTGTGCAGGATGGCTTCGGGGAACTGAAATATGTCATTTCCGTTACTTGCGGTCTCCCTCGTTCCGTCCCCTGCCAGCCTAGTGCCGTCTGGGGTCCCTCCAGGCCGCGGCCCGCAAGGATGCGAGGACCGGCCAGGTCTTGGTGAAAGGCAGGAAGGGGCCTGGTGAAACGGATCAGGAGAGCCTGTCCGACTGAACGCCTGCGCCCTCCAGGTTTCCAGGGTCGTCGGGGCACGAGGCTAATGAGACGGTACCCGCCACTTGCCAGAAACAGTTGCACTAATTATTGAACTTCTTGTGCCGGCATTCTAACGTGATGCACCATGGTCAGTTTCCTGATCCGCGCAAGAGGCCGGGCAGCTGCGTTGGAATTCACGAGTTCCTCCTCACTGGTGGCTCGGCGAATACACCGGGATCGAGGACAGGCTGTCGTGCCCACGTCAGCACATGACGTTCCACAAGCTGAGGTTGCAAGAGACTCACACGATCAACGACCCGCTTGGTGGTTTCAAGTGTTTGGACACGCACGCGAGATTCAGGGCTCTCGTGGATCAAAGGCTGCAGTTGTTGCGTGCGGCAGGACGCAACATCTCAACAGATTTCATTCTTCCATCAAGCTTCTTTTGGTTTGATTCTGCTGTGGGACGCAGGGCGAATATCTCATGGGTTCGCCAATCTGAGGCAAGTTTGGTTATTCTACGGAGGTCTGGTGCCTTAGCCGAGAAGCTTGGAAGTCGATGTCAGAGGACGGGAACTTGGGGGGTATGGCCATATCCGGAGATTCCGACTGCTTTGCGGAGTACCTATAGTCTCCATTGTAGTTCCTTTTTTTGGTTTAACCAATATTATATTAAGGATCCTATAAGGTAACCCCAAAAAGGAACTACAAAGGAGACTATAGGTAGTTTTGAAGGATCTGCGGCAGGTCCTCAGCGACTGGTGCCTGCGGCAATTGGCCGAGGCGGGCTTGAGTTCTGGTGCCACGGTGTCTTGTCTTGGGGTGGCCCTGGCGGCTTGACCTGGGTAGTTGACAAAATTATGGTCCCTTTTGGGGTACCCTAAATAATAGGTGCCGTATCGTAATAAGGACCCAAAAAGGGACCCTAATTTTGACAACCACCCACCTAAACCCTAAACACAAGAGTGCTCTGAAGGGGGGAAGACTTACCCAGACCCGTCCTCTTGAAGCATGCGCTGCCAGGAGGAGCAGCATTCACTGCTCACAGGCTTCTGAGGCCCAAAGTGGCCCTGGCTGACGGTGCTAAGCTGTGCGGAGGAAGAAAAACTCCGCTTCGCTGTGGAAGGGGCCCAAGAGATCTTCGAGACTCTGAGGCCCTGGCAAGCGCAGTGACAGAGGTGGCCAGTGCCCTTCAGGACGCTGGGATTCTCTTGGTTTCGCAGATCTGCTTCGTCGTCTTTTTCAGATGCCGTTCTGGAAAGTGTTTGGAAGTTTGCTCTGGAGAGGACTTCGGCCAAGACTCGGAGGACCTCGCGGTGCAGGGATGGATCCGGCTGGTATGTCCTAACGGGTGTCAGCTTAGCAAGGCATTCGGTTCCGGGAGCTGCTACTTGTAGAGACTCCCGATTTTTCTTAGCCGTCTTAGTGTCAATCCTGATGCGAGGTCACCCAGAGCTTGCTTGCCTCTTAGTTTTCTTGAAGGAAGCCGAGGGCATGAGCCTGCGCTGCCTGAAGGGGGAGGAGCTTGAGGCCTGCATTCGGCGAGCCCTTCACTGCGAAACCCGGGGCTAAGGGTTGAAGCTTCATTCTGAAGCGGGGCTGTTGAGATCTATCGTGCAAGTGTAATTCCTCTGTACGTCCACACCCTGGATGACCAGCATCCGACCTCACCTGAAGAGGCGCGGTAGGTTTGAGGCTAAAGCAGCGCAGGTGATCCTGCGCCACTACAGCGGCTGGACCTTGTGCCGCAAACCGCCTGCAGAGGCAGCTGGAGGCCAGGCGAAGGGAGCCGTCAAATCTGAAGCTCCTCGCGGAGCACAACGCTCGTGGTTCCTCCAAATATTGATCTGAGCGCGTTTTTTTGTGAACGTGCCCCTGGCTTCCGTTGGATTCTATTAGAGGTTCTTTTGATGGATGTGTTCTTGTCAAGCGGTTTGGGCTGTCTGAGCTTCACAATACCATATTACCAGCTGCCATGGAACACAGGACAGGCCTCATATCACAGTCGGCCCGACGATGTCCGAACTTCCAAACCAGATGCTGGCGGACCTAACTAGCATCATCAGCCGGGGGAATCAGATCGTTTCTGAAAAAGGTTTGAACCGCGCGGCTTCGTAGAAGCTCCCGTGTGATGGTACTTGATGCTGCCTTTTAAGCTCACTGACACCAAGCAGCGTAGCTGAGGGAACCCTGGCATCGAATCCCAAGCCGAACTAAAGCGAGTTGGCCGGAGCAGGCCCAGAGCTGACTCCCAAGGGCCCAGCGGAGGAGGGCTGGATGCCGGACAACTGCCTCCCTGCCCCGTTTCGGGCATAGCAGCTGGGGGATGGCACGTGATTTCGAACCTTAGAAGACGAGCCTTCCTTAGATGTTAGGAAAACAGCTGCGCAGTCCAGAGCTGGTCCTCTTCGGCATTTTGCGAGCATTTTTGCTGGGCTGTCAATCTACAGGCTACTGCTTTTCTCTGATGTGGCAACCATACCAAGGATGGCCAGCTAAGACTTTTCGTCTTCGCCAGGTCTGAGCGACCACCCTCGGAACATGCCCACAAAGCAGCTGGGAGCCTAGTCACGAAGTCATCTTCGACTCGAAGCCTGTGCCGTCACAGAAACGAACCTAAATCCAGCGGCTGACAAATGGGTTGCATATACATATATGATATATATATATATATACATTTCGGCATAGTTCTCTGTTGATTCTGCATACTGATTGTGCTCCTTTCCGCCATGCTGTTGGGCTACATTCGGTCTCGTACAATATGGACTTCATGATAAATGTTACACATTCATGCTACCAGTATCTGTGTACGCATATTAAAAATGCAGAGCAGTGAACACACTTATAACCTGTTTATTTGTATCGATTCCTGAGTGCCTGCATCCATGCACGCACTCACACACGTACCAGTACGTGTTTAAGTGCGGGGAAGCGAGTAGACATGCCTGCAATATCTATCCATCTATTTGTCCCTCCAGTCGGGTTGTTTTCCATGTATCTTCAGTGGCAGTGTGGGTAGAAGCGACGGTTTGTGCTGAGGTTCGCTTTTTCGATTAGCTAGCCTCTGGTTTCTCAAGCATGTAGCCCGCTTCCGCTTTTCAAAACCTGCGCAGATGCAGCGTGTCCCCATTCACTTCGTGGGTTTTGGCCAGATCTGTTCGGAGTTCCTGGAAGGCCTCAGGCTCTAGGCTTGAAAGGATCCTTGCAGCTTCCCAAGTCTCCCGGCTGAAACAAGAGAACGACAGGCCCTCAGCTTGTTCAAGCCTTAAGCGGCCCTCGGCATAGAAATTGCAAGCAAGACATGTAGGCGGCCAGCCTCAGGATACCTTTGACTGTTTGCAGTAGCATTGCTCGTGCTTTAGCGCAGAACCGGGCGTCTCGAGCAGCGTCGGCAGGGTGCGTATATTATACAAAGTTGTAACACGCAGGTTCTCTGCGTTCGTATATGTTGTCTTGAACTGGACTAGCAGAATCGTTGGGCTATGTCAGGCCAGGTAGAATCCACTTATACGGGATGCACGCTTCTACTAAGTTATATTCCATCCTATTCTACTTGATTCTCTTCTGTTCTAGCCTAGCGTATCCTGTTCTATTCTGTCTTCTGTCACAGTCGGTTACAGCATACTGAATGCAGTGACGAGTCAGTTCATAAATGAACAACGGATAGATAGATAGATAGATACAGATAGATAGATAGATAGATAGGTAGATAGATAGATAGATAGATAGATAGATGGATAAGCAAGTAGATACACCTGAGACAAGGAAAACAACAACTAAATAACAATTGCAGACACTTCAGAAATTAAAAAGCAAGAGATGAATAGGTACATCGCTAGCTAGCGCTAGCTAGATAGCGAGCCAGCTAGCCAGCTGTCCAGCTAGTTGGCTACAAACTAACCCAACAATGAAGTGCATGCATAAACTGAACAAAGAAGCAAATGAATGAACGACCAGTTGAATAGATAGTTCAGTTTAATAGATAGACGCATACATACATCCATACGTACATACAGACCAACTCGCGTGCGAACGCACGCAGATGCTAATATGTGCGTATGTATGTATGTATGTGTGCATGTATGCATGTATGTATGTGTGTATATATATAGATAGAGGGTTGTATGTGCGTGTAGGCATCTGCATATACCTCTCTTGAGATGTACATGTATATGTATATGCATACTACAGAATGAACAGACATACACATACACATCCTCTTTCTTCTACATGTACAATTAGCTCAGGAGCAGATTCATGCATACCTTTCTGTGATCGCCGGTCCACCCGTCTCTCGACAGGCAGCATCTGATCCTCGCTGGGCTCCAGCGCCTCTCCGCGGAGCTCAGTCAGGTGGAGGCCTCGCTCTACCGGCTGGGAGCCCTAGGGGAGTTTCGGTTTAGGGTTTAGGGTCCCTAAACCCCAAACCCTAAACCCAAAATCTGCAAATCAAAGTGAGTTCTGCTCCTGTGGTAGCAGGTCCAGCTAGGCTCAGCTCGGTGCTTGGAAAGCGTTTAGGCGACACTGCAGCCCTCAGCGGCCTTTCATTTTCTCCGCTCGATCTTTGCATGCATTGCATCTCTCTCCAAGCTCACTGAGGATTCAAACCGAGGGTGCCGAGGAGGAGGATTCCTTGCAAACGCTCCATGCCAAGGCCGGAGAGTTTCATATGAGAGACTGATGCAGAGGCTGCTGCAGCGTGCGTCTGCTTCCTTTCTCTTCCTTGTTGCCAGGTGTGCGAGCTGGTGGAGGAATATCGAAACATCGCTGCTATCCTTCAGGCGAGTGCAAGACAGTTGTGGATTTGACTGTCGCAGCAAAGCGTTGATGGGAGCATGGTTGGTGTGTCCGACGTCATTTGAATCCCTGCCTGGAGTGCAGGCAAATCCGCATCTGCTGGGCCAGGAGGCAGATGTTTCTTCTTTCGTGGAGGGGCAGTTGTCATTTTGGGAAAGTCAAAACCGATCGCAACTCATGATTTCGGCTCTGTGAAGGAGACCAAAGCGCCCGTGGAGGAGACTTCAACTGTTTTTGTCTCGCGCCTCCACTCGTTCCTTCACGCGTTTCGCGGGGCCTGAATACGGGTAGTTGGGATGCTCGAGGAGCCGAAGAATGCGAACGGCCTGCCAGCGTGGGTCCGCGGAGTTCTCAGTTTCTTTAGCAGATTTTAGGCTGTCACGGACGGGTGCTCATGTGCCACCTGCCCTGATCGCCGCATCCCCACTGAATATGCTTCGCCACAGCTCAGAAAGACAGCCGCTCGTTGATGGTAGTTAGGTTGGTTGGATGCCTGAGAAGCCAGACTTGAAAGAACTATGGAAGTTTGACCTGCGTTCCAACTGCAGGTGTGGAGGGTCGCTGCTACTACGTCTCCAAATCGCAGAAGAAGCTCATGAGCGTCTCTTGCCTAGAGCATAGACGGCCATGTCAGAGCCAGTGCAAAGGCCACAACCTGCCAGCCTTGTGACCATGCCAGGTTACGATCAAGCGTGTCAAGCCCTCAGATGCCGTGAGTGCGGGAAGGAACCAGGTTGAACCAGGAAGACGACCCGATGGCTCCTGAGCATTCCATCCGGTGTCGCAAACGAGCAGCCTCGTGGCTTCTGATTGGCAGCTAGACCTGAGTTTCACACACTTACACCTGAGCTCCCGGGGCTCAGGTTTGCGACGTCCGCCAGCAGATTCTGGTGACTTTCGATTCCGATCGCAACGCCCGAAAGGTCGCTCCGGGCTCAGCACGCTTGTTCGGAGTGGCTCGTCTTTGTCTCTTCCCGAATGTGCAGATACGCTGGTGGAGTGAAATCGCAGCACATCTTTCCGAAAAGTTGGGGTTTGCAGCTGCCCCCTGTCGACCTCTCGCCCATCGTTGTTACAGCCGCCCCACACCGATCCAGCTCTCGGAAGCTCTGTGCGTGCACTTTAGCCATATCCAGCAACCCAATCTTGTGCCCAGGTGGAGTTCGCTGCTTTTGAGGACATGGCCTCCTGTCCCTTGCAGCCCAAGGAGCCCGGGGGAGAAGAGTCGGAAGGCTTTAAAGAGGTGAGCTGATGGTTCAATCAGTTCACACTTTGCAAGCGACGGTGAGGAGAAATCCAGGCGAAGGAAGAGCCGTGTCAAGAAGCCTCATGCCCGGTTGCCCAGAGAGGGCAGCTCTGGGCTAAACGTCCGTGTAGATCTTTTGCCATGCAAGCTTCGGCGGAAGCTCGGTTCAGCGGACCAAGGACGAATTGGCAGAAGATCTTCGGGATGTTATCCAGGCAAGGCCTTGTGGGGTTGCAACAGGAACATGCAACGTGACGGAGCCTTTGTTCACCATGCAGTAATTAGGAATCATTGTGACAGATCGACTCTCGCTGGTTCGGGCAGTCACTCAATTAGGTGTGCACGGTTAGCTGGTCAACAGGCCTAGAACACTGATTAAATTAGACAATGCGGCTGCTAGGATCTGGGACCCCCGGGCGCAATCTCAGCTGTCGGGGGCCGAGATATGTTGCTTTTGTGAGTCATGTGATCCATGCATTCTTGTGCGGGCGAGGGCGTGCCGTTAAGCCATGAGAAGAAAGGCGGCGTCGTCGGACTCGGAGTCGGACAGCTACTCGTCCAGCGACTACACTTCCTCCACGGCCTCAGGCGGCCGTTTCCACGGGCAGAAGAGAGCCCGGTCCCCTTAATCGTATTTATATTGGTATTAGTATTATTATTGTTACTATTATTATTGTTACTACTACTTTTTTATTATCGATATTATTATGAATATTGTTATTATGTTCAAGCCATTGCCAGGATCCGATCGGGGCGTTGCCACTGGGTCCAAGCCTCAGTGGAAAGGACGGATCTTGTCTAGCGGCTGTTGACGAGCAGAATGCAGCGCAGGCCAGAGTTCCACGAGGGAAGTGGCTCGTCGACGGTGGCGTCCTCAGCGATATTTCTCATCGTAGAGCATGGTAGCATCAGCTGTTCGGGCCATAGATTCTCAAAGCTGGTAGTCCGGGTCGCAGGACGTGCTGGGTCCGAGTCAGGGGGTCTTGTGTCCAAGCCTCCCAAGCTTCCGAGAAGCATCTGACCGAGTCGCCTTGCTTCGGACCAGAGCAGGCAGAGGACAAGGCAGCTGAAATGCCAGCATGATGCCTTCTGCAGCCTTCTGCTATCTTATGCTGGTTTATCGAGAAAGGGACGGCTTGTGGCTTCTATAGCGCGAACACACGAATGAACTGCTTCCTGAAGTGGCAGGCACCCCAACATGGTGATAGAAGCCGTAGGAAGCTGAGCGATAGTCTCCGGCTCAGTGCTTGCAGCGGAGGCGCGAGAGGCAGCGGAGAAGGCCAAGGAAGCCGAGGCCTGTCGCAAGGGGCCCCTTGCCGACTCCGCCCCCTCTGTGGAAGATGGAGATGGGAAGAGGAGAAAAACACACGACTCAGACATCGACTCAGACTGTTACCTATAGGGAGGGAGAAACAACCAAGAGCCGAGAGACGAAAGGCCAAGAAGGCAGAGGAGAGGAGCTTGAAGCTCTTCTCGGGGATTCGGGGGGGGATTCGGGGGGCGTTCTGGGCAGATTGGCACTTGCAGGTTGGCTCCTTTAGCTCGTGTTCCATCTCCACGTTTTTCCGCTTTCGCAGCCCTCCGGGGCCCTGACGCGCGCGCGTGGAAGCGCGCGGAAGGAGTGAAGTAGAGGGAGCTTCGCATCCTTGTGGCGGCTCTCAGCTGTGGCAGTGTGAACCAGTTCTCATGGAAACACAATGGAAACGGATAAGACAGACAGCAGACAGAGACATCTCTTGCTGATTGGGGACTCTCCTGAGCTCTTCCGTCATTCAAAGCCTCGGTGTAGCACAACTCACTTCCATCACCGAGGGGCCAAGCCCGAAAACACCAAAAAAGTTGGGGTGCAGCGAGCGGGCCTCCGTGCGATGGCTGGCCATTTGGGAATACCCTTCGGCCATGGCAGATCGACATCCCCTGAAAGTCCTGCAGCAACGGTTGGAGGCGCTAGCGGGGGACACCGCACTGGTCCTTCGTACAGTACTGCTGCATTGTGCTGTCAGGAGCTCATGAACTTCCCGCCTGAACGCCATAAAGTGGACAAGGGGCACGTGGCTTTTCGGAGCCAACTCTTCGATGCAGCTGCCCTCGCGCTGCTTGGCTGCCTTTTTGCGGAGACGTCAGCTAATTTCGTGGCCGTGCCCTGCAGGTGTGCGGCAGACTGCGTCCCTGGCTCAGCTCAACTCATAGACGACATGATGTCTGGCTCGACACAAACCAAATTGGATGCCCGTGCCTTAATGTTCGTGGTGGATGTCATCCTGAAGCGTGGGATGCGCCAAAACCCGCCGCCGGAGCGCAACTCTGCAGTGATGGCGAAAGTGATGGTGCCACACCTGAGCAAGTGGCTCCGGGTTCTGCTTCTGACGAAGCGCTCCCCGGAGCAGCTTGAAAAAACCAGAAAAATGATCTCAAGATGGTCGGACGATGGCTGGCTGCCGATGGATGGTGTTCTCCCACTGATCGAGCTGATGGATGGCGGCTTGCCTCCTGTTTCCGAAGACTCCCAGCAATCCCAACAGTCGCTGGACTTCTCGCAGTCGCAGCCTTTGCCTTGGAGCTCGCCCGAGCGCAAGGAAGAGCTCCGTCCGCCTGTGCCGGCGGCCCCGGCGGCCCCGGTGGCCCCGGCAGCCCCCACACCGCCGCCATCGACGCAAAGTCGGGAGGAGCCTCCCTCGAAGCGCGTGAGGCGCCTGTCCAGTTCGGAGCTCCCGAGCCGCGAGGCGGAGGCGGACCTCGCAGAGGATCCTTTTGTTTCTAGGCCCTTGCATGCTTCGCAGGCGCAGCAAGCCCAAGAGCTCACCCCGACGCGGAGGCTGGGCACCGGAGCGCACCATTGCTGAGCGCATAATCGATCTGATTCTCTCTCCTTGTGCTTGCTGCGCGAGACAAGACAAGAAGCGAGAATCAAACCGGTCATGTTGTGGACCAGAACACGGTTGAGACGCATCGACGTTGCCTACTAACACCTAGAAGAGGCTGTCCAGAATAGTTGCCTCGTGGATGTTGCTTTAGGATCCGGGATGCAAGGCCCCTGCTTTGGAGATGGGGAAATACATGTGGCCTCGGCTTTGCCAGGCTGGTGCTGCCGAGCGCGCAGAAGGACAAGAAGGCCGCGCCCGGGCGGCGCTCCCTCACCGCTGCAGAGACGACCACTGCCAGTGTCGCCCAAACGGCGAAGGAGGCTCCTTTGGCGACCAACGGTGCCAAAAGCGAGCCGTCTGATGAAAAGCCACAGCTGCAGCCCGTGCAGAAGGACAAGAAGGCCGGGCGGCGCTCCCTCACCACTGCAGAGTTTATCGGGTGCGCGACGACCACTGCCAGTGTCGCCCACACGGCGAAGGAGGTGAAGGCGGCTCCTTTGGCGACCAACGGTGCCAAAACCGAGCCGTCTGACGAAAAGCCACAGCTGCAGCCTGTGGCCGAAGGCACCGGGAAAAGTGACGCGCCTGCGGCGCAGGATCAGGCAAATGACCAGGAGAGAGCTCTTTCTGAGACTTCAATGTTTTTCGAGTGTTGGTGGGTTTATCAACATACTTCGCGCACGGAGTGGTTTCTGCGGATTGCGGACTTTGCAGGAGCTCGTCCGTCGCAAGATTTCCATCTCCTGGCGAGTGCGGGGTGACTGTCGCTGCCTCTTCCGCGCCGTGATGCGGGCTTACACACTCGACGCTCGGGCCTACCCTAACCCCCCAAGTACCTACTTTTTCTAGGGTACTAGAGCCCTAGGGCCCTAAAAAGTAGGTAATTACCTGGAGGGTTGGGCCTAGTTGGTTTCGTCAGACCAACAGGTCGCTGACATCTGTAGCTCTCAGAGCCCGAAGTCCCGAAGTGTGCAGAAGTGCAGAGGATCCGCTCAACCGAAAGCAACGAGATCATCTGGGCGAGCCCGTCGACGAGGCGGAGCGCGTGCAGGAAACTTGGCAGAAGAGGAGGCTTGTAAGCTTCCCACTAAGCAGGATACACAAAACGCACAGCAACTAAGTCAGTGCAAACAAATATATATATATATATATATATATATAAGAATTCTCTTCTTGCCGTTTCAACTTCCTCTCGGGCCTGCCCGGCGGCTCAAGGAGCGGGAGTACGCCGACAAGCTCCGGAAACGTGTCTGCGAGGAGTTCCTGCTGCGCCAGGAGACGTGATGGCTTCCTATTCCTATGGCTCCATCTAATTCCCTCTTCGTTTGGTCAGAGGTCCGGGTGTCCAGGTTTAGGTCGACAGCGCAACTCTTTGCTGCTTGCGAATATCGGTCAGGCACAAGGCTGGGGCAGCTAGGGAAGATACCTATAGTCTCCATTGTAGTTCCTTTTTGGGGGGTACCGTATTTTTTTTGTCTATTTTTCTGGTTTGTTTTTGTCTATTTTTCTGGTTTTGTGCTGAAGGCAGACGAAAGAAAGAAGGAGAGAGCCGGAAGCCGGGAAGAAAGAAAGGAGGCAAGATTTTTCTGGTTTCACTTCTGTTTTCCTTGGTTTTTGGACT